CATCATATACTTCATACTAACACTTAAGAAATTCTTGGTCACTCCAATATTTGTTATACTAAAAGCTCATAACCTCTACTCACTATCAAAAGCCTCTATAACACTTCATAACAGTCTGGAAAGTAGTTTCAATTCCTTCGAAATCCTCATTAATCATGTAAAACAATAGATCCACACAATCAATCATCAATAAGTTATCTATCATAATTCGAACAATCTAGCTTGAAATAACGACATAGAATCTTTCACACATCTTTCGTTGTCACCCAAAAAAAAACTCGATCTTTAGAAAAGTAGATAAATATCTTGCAAGTTGTACCGAACTAGTTCACATCCCACAGTCATATCTAAACTCATAAGCAAAAATTCAATAAATCCTTCAACTACAAACCAAGGCATCATAGGAGAGGTTTTATTCCGTCATCTTTTTAAAATTCTTTTCATAATACAATTTCAAATACCTTGAACCCTTCGATATACTAAACTCTTTTTTCTTTCATTGACTCACAGATCAATCTTATCATTTGATGGATAAAAGCGGAAAGAATCGGCGAAACAACAATTTTTATAAGTTACCCTATGAGGCTATTATAAAAAAGGCACCAATATTAACAAAGAGTCTATCCAGGGCCGACTTAACCACTGGGCCATTAAAGTCGTCGCTTGGGGCCTCATGTTTTTGAGTCCCCTCTATTTTAACAAAAAAAAAAGTACTTACACAAGTTACTTAAAATTAAAGGTATATTTTTTTTAAAAAAAAACACATGCAATGAGTATAACAAAAAAATAAAAATAGCCGTTAGTTTTTACCACTTTTTCTAAGGAAATGAAATATTTTATGAAAATAATTTTCTCAAGTGGAAAATTGTGCTTTCTTATTCATCTCCGAAAATTTTGACCTTATATTATTATTTACCTTATACTCATCTTTTTTTATCTTCTATTGTATTATTTTTATTTTCAATGCTAAATTCTCTCCTAAAAGTTGATTTATTGTTGCTTACACGTCAAAAAAGAACAAAATTTGGTTTTGAGTGTCTTCTTCAAATCAATCATTATATTGAAGGAATGCAAGACTATTTCAATATTATTATATCAACTTATCATAGTCATGAGTCAGGTTTTATTATTCTAACTTAATTTTATAAATTTTCTTGAACTTTTGTTATTATTGATATTCTTAAATAGTAAGTGTGTGTGTGTGTGTGTATATATATATATATATATATATATATATATATATATATATATATATTCTCCTTTTAGTTATTATAAAGAGAAATATTACAAGTAAAACATAATAATTTAATGAAAATACTCAATCAAATAAAAATACTTGATTTTTTTTGTAATGCTTATTTTGCTTATAGAATAATGTTAACAATTCCAGTAACTATTGCCTCGGATGAAAGATGTTTTTCGAAACTAAAATTGATAAAATCTAATCTAATATCAACAGCGTGAGATTGAATGTATTAGCTATATCATTAATTTAAAAGGAATAACTAAAACAATTATTAAAAAACAGTAATTAATGACTTCACATCTAAAAAGACAAGAAAATAGGCTTTTAATAAAGGCCGAACTCATAAACAAATTCCTGAACTTGTTGGGTTTTTTCCTTTAGGTACCTCAACTACGCCATTTTCCTTTTGAATCATTAAACCGCTCATGATTTGTTCATTTTAGACTTTATTGACTTATTTTGACCGGCTTTTTAAATTGTAAATGTCTTCAATAGTGTTTGTATTGTAATGATTTTGATTGAAGGAATGAAAAGTAACTTTGTGTTAGTCTCATTTATTTTATAATGTGTTCAAATAACTTGAAGTAAAACAAAATTATTGTCGAACAGTTTCACAATTAGTTGAACTAATGAGTTCTCGAACAATATGTGTATCTCCTACCAATACTCCTCATAAAATCTGATTTCACTATCAGCCAAGAGTGTTTAAAAGGAACAAATTATGGATGATTCAATGATTCAATAGGAAAATAGCATAGTTGTGGTACCTGAGGGGAAAAATCCAACAAGTTTAGGGATCTGTTTATATGTTTGACCTTAAATATATATATATATATATATATAGTACATCATTATTATTTTTTTGTAAAATAAAATAAAATAATAATAGGGCCCCTATTTAAGGTTTGACTTTTAGGCCCCCAATTTTGTTGATTCAGCCGTAATTCCATCTTCTACACCCACAATCGTCATATCTACGTCTAGGATGTGATACCACATAACATATCATTATCTCTCCCTTGACCACATGTTAGCTGGAGAAAGCGTCACAACATGCAGTAGTTGATATTAAATCAATAAATGTGTAATTAATTTTTTTGTTAGTGCGTTTTTGATGATTTACTTCATGTTAACTTCATATAATTATTTTTTCTATTCTTATGAATCTTCATGATTAATTAATTTGTATTTTTACTCCTCTCATAGTCAACAAAACCTTTACTCTTCTCATTGTCAACTTCCCAAAGTGGCTAAAGGCTTAATTTAATTAGATAAATGGCAATTTGCATCCATAAATTGCCAGTTATATTAGTTACTGCTAAATATGATTTTTTAAAAATTTTAAATATCACATTTTGCATAATAATATTCTGTTATTCATCAATTGGACTATTATTGACATTACTATGTTTCTTTTTCATTTTATTTTGAAATGTTTTATTTGAGTTGAAGATTTAATAGGAATAATCTCTCTAGCTTATAGGATAACAGTAAATTTACCTATACATGATTCTTTTCAAATCTAGCTTATGAGATTATATTAGATATGCATTAATTGTTGAATCATCTTCACATATAAATGTGAGAAATCAAAGGAAAGGTATGATAATTTCAACCTATCATTATTTTATAATATTATTAGCTTATCATTATTCTTCAAATGTAATGATATATTAGTAGTTTATATAGTTGATATAAGATTAAATACTTGGATACATAATATAAGGATCTTGAACACGATAATCTTACATAGAGATCGTTAGGAGTACATACCTGATGCGGAAGACATCATCAAAGAGAAAAGCGGAAGTGTTAGTCGTAAATTGATTTCTACATCCTTGCCCTAACTTTATTTTATCACAACCGTCAACGATTGAATTATTGTAGTGAATATGTGATAACCCTAATGGGTGCATGGAGGGAGGACCAATTTATAGAGGTTATAACTTAATCTGGTACGTGCATCAAATAACTAATGTATGGATGATATCCTTATTAAATATTATTTATTATACTACTTGGATTGCAAGTAAATTTGGGCTATAAGTAAGAAATAATGAATAATAATTAAATAATAATTCTTACAGTTGACTCACAAATCACACGAGTCATAATTGTTTTTGTGAAATGGCACAAGTAATAACATTATATAATTATCCATTAAATGTTGATAAAGAAGAAGAGCTTTCTATCATTTAAGGGTGTAATCTTGTGATCAATCAAATGAATTAAATTATGAAGGCTTAGTAAAATAAAATAAAAATCTAATCCATCTCATCTAACCCTCTACTCATAATTTATTTTTATTTTATTTTTATATTTTTCTTATTTTGTTTTAAATATGTAAATAAATATGTAAATCCCACACACACACTTTATTGTAATCAAAACTCTTAATTACAATATTACAACTTTTTCCTACCAAACTCACAACACTCCCCGATAAATCTCAAACTCCTGATCTTGTTTTGATCTTCTCTCTATGTAAATGCGCAAAATTTTTCATGAACTATTGTAGTATTTATAGACTTTAGAAATCTCCTAAGTATTGTTCATTTCACATATTACTGCTCGCCGCTTTAAAAAAACTTCTTTAAACCTAACTTGACTCGAACTCCTCCTTGCATTCTGCTTTGAAAGGAAAAACTTTGATGCAATTTACCTTAACTGAATAAGAAAACTTTATTAATTACTAACTCTTTCTTCTGCTTGGTTTCAAGTTCCTTTTATAATTCGAAGTTTTAAGTTCACGTGGCAAGTTTCTGCTTTTCTACTTCTTTCAGGCTTTTGTATCCTTCTTTACTTCATCTTCCTTGTTTGTCTAGTTTTCCTATTTGATTAAGAAAACTATCTTACCTGCGTACTCCTTTATAAAGGAAATTTTTTGTTCAAGTTTCTTTTAAAAAAACAATACTTTCACAACTTTATAATTTCTAATTCAGTGGTTGATGATTTCCTTATCCGACTAGGATTCGGTCTGAAAAGTACATGTTGGCACAACCGGTTCCTTTCATCTATTCCTCTATTTGTCAATAATAAAAATCTTTGTCTTTCAAACACACTCAAAATCAGAGGGGGCGAGGAAGTATACGGAAAGGAGCAATACTTTAGACGAGGTGTGTATGTTCAATTTATCACTATAACTTTCGGAGCTTTTTCTCCAATTGTTGCTGCAATTTTCAGGCATATATATGTTGGTTAATTGTTTTGATTTACATTCAATAACATTATATAATTATGCATTAAATGTTTATAAAGAAGAAGAGTTTACTAGCATTTAATGTTGTAATCTAGTGATCAATCAAATGAATTAAATCATGAAGGTTTAATAAAATAAAATAAAAATCTACTTCACCTCATCTAACACTCTGGTCATAATTTATTTTTATTCTTTTTATATTTTTCTTGTTTTGTTTTAAATATGTAAATAAATAATTTAAGAATTTTCCTACTTACATATAGATCTTATAAAAGAAATAAAAATCTTCTACTGGAAGTAAAAAATACTTTTACTAAAAATGCACCACATGTGTACACTATTTCTTGTTTTTCTACAAATAATTTGTCCTCGACTAAATAACCTATCATCGACTACTTTTTTTCTTTCTAGTCTCTTCTAGGTTTTTCATGTGTACACTATTTCTTGTTTTTGACAAATCACATGTCCTCTACTAAATTACCTATCCTTGACTACTTTATTTTCTTTCTACTCTCCTCTAGGTCTTTCCATTTCTCCATTCTCATTCTTCCGTGGCCCAGTAATCTTCACTCTGTTGGAATTCTGACCCCAAGTATTCCTAAGGAACAAGTATATATTCTATATGTTTCTTTGCAGTTTACATCAGTTATGTTTTGTAAAGCAGATAAAATAATGACATAATATTTTATCACAGAAAACCCAAACACATAATGGGTAAAAACCATGACCTATACCTCTATAGGATTTAACTCCACTTCATTAAACTATGATTCTCAACAAAAGATCACAAACCTATGTAACCTAAGGAATTACATATTGTAATTCATAGCTATCCAAGACAAAAAATCCAGGTTTAAGTCTTCTACCGTCCGTCAAGTTTCTCAATCTTGTTAGACGAATCCTACAGACACACTTGATTGTAATCAAAACTCTTAATTACAATATTACAACTTTTTCCTTACAAACTCGCAACACTCCCCAATAAATCTCAAACTCTTTATCTTGTTTTGATCTTCTCTCTATGTAAGTGCATAAAATTCTTCCATGAACTATTGCAATATTTATAGGCTTTAAAACTCTCCTAAGTATTGTTCAACAAAACTTAGTCTTCGTCGCTTTAAATAAACTTTTTTAAACCGAACTTGACTCGAACTCCTTCTTGCATTTTGCTTTGCAAGGAAAAACTTTGACGTAGTTTACCTTAACAGAGTAAGAAAACTTTATAAATCACTAACTCCTTCTTCTACTTGGTTTAAACTTCCTTTTCTACTTCGATCTTGTAAGTTGACGTGGCAAGTTTCTACTTTTCTACTTTTTTCATGCTCTTGTCTCCTTTTTTACTTCAGCTTCCTTGTTTGTCTAGTTTTCCTATTTGCTTAAGAAAACTATGTTGTCTGTCTACTACTTTATAAAAGGAAGCATTCTGTTCTAGTTTCTTGTCAAAAAAATAATACTTCCACAACTTTATAACATCTAATTCGGTGGTTGACTTTCTCCTTATCCCACTCGGATTCGGTCTAAAAGGTACATGTTGGAGCAACCAATTCCTTTCATCTATTTCCCTATTTGTCAACTATCAAAATCTTTCTCGTTCAAATATACTCAAAATAAGAGGGGGTGAGGAAGTATTCAAAAAGGAGATATTCTTTAGACGAGGTGTGTAAGTTTAATTATCACTATAATTTTCAGAGCTTTTTCTCCAATTGTTGATGCAATTTTCAGGCATATACATGTTGGTTAATTATTTTGATTTGCATTCAATTTTTTCTTTTACCCTTTTCGGTATTTAAAACATTTGATTAAGAGTTATATATATAGACGCGGATGATTTTTAAAGTTTTGATCTTTGATTGGGTTTGTGCAATGCAGTTACCAAAGGGGTAAAAAGAAGATAGTTGATTTTTTTTTGATGTTGAAGTGGACTGGTTTAAATATCTAAAAAAAAAATTTTATTTTTTTTATTTTTAGTTTTATGTGTGAATATATGTAAATGAATCTGCTACAACTAAAATCAAATAACGGGGTAGCACTAAGTAGATGATATACCTAAAACAATAATTTTATTACTTTATTGTCATATCATGTTAAGACAATTCAGAATCTTGTACCGGTAGTCTTTTTGTTAGGTGGATATATGAGTTCATTTGTCCTTTTCATTTCATCATCTTTGTTCTTTTTGTCATAAAATTATTGAAGAGCTCGATTTCTTAATGGGTAAATTAAGAATAGTAGAAGGAGACTATTAGAGATTTCAATTTATTTAGGCTTTTTGTTGAAGTAGCCTTAATATATGTTATAGTGATGATGCCTGTTGACACCCAATTTTTACCCTCCACGATTTGATTAATTAATAATCTTCTTTAATATTGAACAGTGCGAAATAATTGTTTTTGAAAATAAAAAATACTATCAAGATTATCTTTCAAACACTTTTTGCCACTTTTTCATATGGATTATATGTCTTTTACTTAAAATATATAGATTGATATAACTTTTCAATTTGAAGGAATAGTTAGTAAATTGATTTACCAAAAAATAGAGGTTTAATTAAGTATGCAACTTATTTTATTTAAACTGATAATTTAATATGATCATTCCTTTTGAAATATTTATTTTGATGTTGTTAAAGTTAAGAAGCTTGAGTAATTAGTTGACTTTATAATCCATCTCATTTCCCTTTGAAACTCTCTCCAGGGATTTTATTTAGTCCATGTTTGGACCATCAGATAACCTTTAACCTAAAATTTTGGCCCAAATTCTTTAAACCCATTTCACATCAACAGACCCAAGACCCAATTAAGAATTTTAAAATTTCCAGAGTCCCACATCGTTTTCCCCATTTATTTCGACCTAAAGTTTGTCCTATATAAACCCCCTCACCCTTACTGTTCAGGGCAGGAGTTTTTGGAGTCGAGAAAAAGAACACCCTGCTAAGTTTATGGGAGTTCTTATTTTCTTCGTTGAAATTTTTTTGATTTGCGACTATTTTGAGTCGGATTGGGATTGGAATTCGTCACGTCCAGGATTGAGTTCTAGTCGCTGCCCAGAACCTGGTAACACTTGTATTCCTTCCTCTTTTGATATGAAGTCTTGGGTTTAGTCTTTTTTAGCGATTATGTATACCTATTGTAGTTCAATAAATAAAGGTGTTTAGATTTAACTTCGTTGTTTAGCACTGTTTGTTAGTTTTAGATCTTGTCTCTTGTTTTAATCTCAATGCTCAAGAATGGAGGTTTATTTTAGCTTAACATTATGTGAATTATGTGATGTTTAAATAATTACATCAAGTTGTGTTGTTTAGTCATTTCACCCACTTTTTCATTTTAAATATAGTTGTTGATAATCAGTGTTTAAATTTGTTTGAAATCCTTGATAGTATCTTGATTAATTACCTTATTCAAATTGTGATCTTGACTGTTGGCCCGTATTTCTTCCTTGATTTTACCTTGATTTAATTATCTTGTCCTTCTTGTTTTACTTGAGAGATTTCATTGTGTGTCTTCCTTTAATTTGTGCAAGCTGTGAAATATATTCCTTGTGTCGCTTCCTTTAATTCTTGCAAACTGTGAAATTTGATCTGATTGATCAAATATTCACTTTCCTTTCTTTACTAGATTTGCTCATGATTCACTTGATTCCTACAATCAGGTTGATTGAGAGTCTGCGATTTGGTGATGTATCTCGTTCCTTTCCTGCATCAAGTGACTAGTCAGTATTTGCATTTGTCATTATTAACACCTTTGATTATGAGGTTAACACAATGTTGTGTGCACCTCTTTATGAGATTTCGTATATGTGCTGAACATTGTCTTTTCCTCTGTTTTATGACTTTTCTTAGTTACGACCTCTCAATTTCCACTTTGTTTTTTGGGTCTTTTTACTACTCTATTGTTTCTGCTGACTAATTGTTTTTGCTTTTTACACTTTGCATTGTGTTGTTTTTGCTTATTAAAATCAGTTATACTTTCATAAACATTTGTTGAATTTCTCATACATATCATCCTAAGACTACAAGATGAAATGAATAAAAACTAGGACTCTACAAGACATTTTTAATTCTAACAATTTGAATTCCTTTGTAACCCTAATTGATATGTCATTAAGATTTTTCCTTAATAGCTTGCCGTAAAAGGTAGAAATGTTTCCTTATATTCCTAGCTTTTAATAGTGTGGTGTGAAGCAAGGGTAATCAATAATCACTGAAGAAATGCGTGTTTGAACAGATATAAGAAATATTGGGGTTGCAGCATGGAGTGATACCTTAGGAATCATGCGCATCTGAAGAACAAAATAAACTCTAGAATAATAAGGGTGCTAATTCCTCAAAAATTTCCCTCCTCTTGAAAAAAAAGGAAACAAAGTCAAATATCTTATTACCTTTATTTTCCTTTTCCAGAAGAGGGAAATTTTTGAGGATTTGACCCCCTTATGTTGGTACCTCATTTGATATTATCACTTAGTGCCTACAGGTATTTAGAAAAGTTTTCCATTACAATTTTATATTTTATTTCTCTCAATTACAAATCAATCGGAAGTTGACAATGATGTTTTTAGAATCTAACTACAAGGGGGCTATGAGAAGGTACTCAATTCCTCTCATTCTTTTCTCTCATGCTATGAAGTTCAAACATACTTGATAAACACATTTATTGTACACTAATGTGCAGGTAGCAAAAAACGCTTTAACGTAACACCATTTGTTTAAAGGAACTCTCTCAATGCTTTATTTTTACATTAATTTTCCAAGCTTCTTGTCCAATTGTTCCTGCAATTATCAGGTATGTGTTGGTTAATTGTTTTGATTTACATTTAATTTTCATTTACCCTTTCGGGTTTGCACAAATATCTATTTTGCATAGGTATTTAATGCTTTTGATTGAGGTTTATATACTATGGTCTTTCATTGAGTTTGAGAATGCAGTGACCAAAGGGGTCAAAGAAGATAGTTGTTTTTTCCATTTCTTTGTGAAACTCGATTCTGGTTTCCATTTTAAAGTGAACTGACTTATAATTTCTAAAATCAATCTTTTCTTTTATTTTTTTAAGCTTATATGTGAATATGTAAATCAATCTAATAACACATCATTAAAATCAAATAAGGGGGTAGTACTGAGAAGATGATATACCTAAAATAATAATTTATTACTTTGTTGGAATATCCTGTTAAGGCAATTCTAATTTTGTACGGAGAGAGACATTTAGTTGGGTTGATATATGAGTTAATTTTTTTTATTTCATTATATTTTTTCTTGTTGATAATTTTTATTTGTGTTTTTTGTCTTAAAATTGTTAAAGAGCTCGATTTCTTAATGGGTTAATTAAGTATACTAGTATGACAATAGAAGAATATGTAGAAGGGAGTTCAATTATATTTAGCCCTTTTGTCGAATTAGTGTCAATATATGTCACAGTGTTGGTACCAACATCTGACACATAAGAGAAAACCTACAAAAATGACTCATTAAAAAGGGACCTTCAAGTCGTTACAAGAATACTTAAATCAAAATTCCTATTAAATGAGATTGAAAGGAAAGTAATACTTTTCATAGTGTTTTTAAACAAATATTTTTGCAGTTTTTATCTCTTATAATTCTTTCATCGATACTTATATGTTTTAATATGTTTTTAATTTGCACTAAAAACTGTGAGTCATTTCTAAAAAAGAAACAATCTGATAGATAACTGCATATTAAATTTAATACTATACAATAGTAATTAAACCAACTGAATGTTTTATACTAGGTAGGTTTTATCTCTCGAATTAGATGATGAAACTTAGTAATGAATGAATGTTGTTGTTGTTTGCTTTTCCTAAAAAAATTCATGGCTTCTCAATTCATCTTCAATTTTTGGTATTATTAGTACTACTTTATATTGGTTTTTGTTTTTTATACTTTCCACTTTGTTTATAAATCACTCCAAAAGAATTAATGTTGTTGGAGAGGCACCTAAAAGATTGACAGGCAATTACTACTTGTCTTCTTTCTAGCACACATTGTGTCAAACGCAGTGGAACAATATCTCAAGTACATCACGATCTTACAATTCCGGTGTCTTCATCAGCTTCAACGTCAAGTTAGGACATCAAAACATCCCTATGATTATGCCACTACCTCATTAAATATGTTTGACAAAAATGTTATTCATTTTTTTTGGTAAATAAAGGATTTTCATTTATCAAAGTAAAGAGTCATTACAGAGACTAATCTAAAGTTAATACTCACATTCTATCCTCTTTTTTGTTATTTGTATAAAAAAAATTGTTGATCTTATACGACTAGACAATGGGAATCCGATTGGAAGACATAATCTACATGACATTTAGGTTGGGACTTGGGTCCCTGCTGAATATTTATGTTGATACAAAATGTGGGTTTATGCCAGACTAGAGGAAAAATATAAAACAATCGATGATAAGTTGTTTAGATATTATAAGTTTGATTCTTGGGATTATCTTATGCACTTATTATAACAAAAATCTTCAATAGGCACATAGACTATCTGTAAATTGTTAGTTCAGTATGATTCACTGTTAGATTCTACCTTGATACAAGTTTGAAACATGATCAATATTGTTCGGAGACATATAATAAATATAGCTAAAGTATGATCTTTCTCACATATACATGAGAGTGTTACTTTCCTACCCATGTTAGTGAAAATTCATTTTGCTAGATGTAGCTAAACTAGGTAAGTTGTATTGTTACAGTGAAAACGACATTATATTGAACAACTGTTCAACATGAAGAAATTATAGTTATGATTTCCTAGGGATCGGAGATGCTAGAGTTAAAAAGTTTCATTGGTCCAGTTTTATTAAGTAGAATACTGATGTTGTTTTAGTTGATTTGTCATGCAACCTTAGTGTGACTAGCGTTAAATAGTCATTAAAATCCTCAATTTTACCTAACTTCACCATATTCAAGAATTGAAATTATACAGAATCATGCCACGATGAATCAAGACAAATAATAAAATGATATGAAAGTAAACGAAACATAAGGGTAAGCCTCTAAATTAGAAGAATAAACCTTTGAATGTTTTAGAGAAGTGTTTTCACAAAGAATAGGGTTGCGGAGATCAAGTAGAAGTTGTTCAATAGATTATATTTTGCGATCCTTATTGGTCGGTGCTCCGACATCAGAAGATGCCAACAATGTGGCTCCTACTCCTCTGGATGTGTCAATACCGACTGAGAGAGACTTAGGCAAGTTTTTCATTTTTAAAACGTCAATCAAATGCTTTTATCATTTTCCTTTTTTTGCTTTTCCAAATTTATTTTCTCTCCTCTTTCTTCTATTTGGAAATTAAACAAAGACATTCACCATTTGCTTTAAAACCACACCATAATCAATGAAGATCATTAATGAACTTTAAAAGTAAATGAAAAACACATTTTTAATCATTGATGGTGCCACAATTTTAAATTAAATAATGATATGCCTTCATTAAATTATGGAATAGAATAAATAGGAGAGGAATGAAAATAAGGAAATAGAAAGTAAGAAAATGCTAAAAGCATTTGATTGAAGCTTTAGAATAAAAAACTTAACTCCGTCTCCCTCAAATACTCTGACATTGTCGACATTCTCAGAGGAGTAGAAAGTTTGTCGGCTTCATTTTTCGGTACCGGAGCACCAACCAATAAGGACTGCAAAATATAATTTTTTGAACAACTTGTACAGATCTCCGTAATCCAAATCTATGTGAAAACCCCCTCTTGATTCCCCCAAATCTATGTTAAAACGCCCGTCTGGAACATTCCAAGTGTTATTTTTCATGTTTCGATGTTCGCTTTCATGCTTCATTTATTATCATATCTTTTTCTATCGATTCCTTGGGAATGATTTTGTATAATTTCAAATCTTCATTATGGTGCTTTGAGGGTTTTAATGACACAATTACACACTTGTTACTTGAGAGAGTTTAAATGTAATTGGATAAACATAAAATTAATAAAGATGGAAAATGATGTCATCGACTGTCGAATTTAGCTATTGTTGAGAAAATTAGGAGGAAAAAGAGGTTTAATTTCATGTACCCTATTTTAATGTTAATGGTGTAAGTTATCTCATCTGGGATTGAACTGTTTCATTATGAATTCAAACATAATTTTTAAAAATGAATATAGAAACTTTATATATATAATTAGCAAGTAGAAAATGTTGTAACTACTGTGTAGCAAATAAACTATAGACGTCATCTTACTTCTACCATCCCACTTCCAGTGAATAGTGGAACATGGCCCCCTTAATTTTATTGTGGTACACATTTGGTACTATCGCTGCATTCTACATATATTTTGGGAAGTGTTTCACTATAACTCAAGAGTTTATTTGTCTCTCAAATGCACCTGCATCTCTTGGGTCTTGTACCACAAAACTTGCTTAATACCACATTTTCAGTTAAATATAATTCTTTTTTACTTCTCAAAACTAATTCCACAGACGTAAGTCCAAAAATAAGATCCAAATAGTATCAAATTAATGCAACTCTACAATTGTTTGATAAATCATTGCAGGAGAATTGAAATTTTATTTATATATGAAGAAATTATACACTTGGGATTTCTTTTCCTCATAATTCACGAACTATCAAGTAATAGTGACTGTTCATCCTTGATAGTCAGTGATGACCATAAAGAGGAAGAAAGGAAGATAACATGTTTGTGACCTTAAGTTCATAAGGCGCTGACAGGTGCAACACAAGAATGTTGTCTTAAATAATTATATTCATGAAAAATTCTTTTTAACCTTGAAAAACTTGGAATTTATCATTCATAAGAAAAAAGGACCAAATAATCAATGATGTGTTCTCCTGGATAGACTTTAGTGTGATGATAAGCGTAATTGTGATCCATCATAGTTATGATATTTGGTTTCCCTATAATAAATCTTTTGGATAGTTTTCTACTTTAAATAATATATTTCTTTGTATTTCTATCCCGTTGTTAATACAACAAACAAGTCAACACCTTTCCAATATTTGAAGCTTACAAACTTAGGTGTCATTGGTGATCCCGTGATGGAAATATGTCTGGAAATACAGTAGACATATTACCTTCTTGAGGGCACCAAAGACTCAAATATTCAAAAGGTGTTAGACGTGATTGTTGTATTAAGAAAGGGGGACAAATACAAAGGAATCTTCACTACAACGTAGAGACTGTCAGAATGATCTATTCAAGGAAAACCAACTATCACAACTATGAAGGATCATACATACAACTATCATCACACAAAAGTGTATCCAGATCTCGAGAACTCATTTGATTCAGAAGTTTATATATCTTCTTATTTTTTTAGAGAAGATGTTCTTAAAAGTTTTTGAAGGTCAAAAAGTATTTTTACATGAATAATATGGACTGGGATATTTATCTAAGACAACATTCTTATGTTGCATGCATCGGCTAGCTCTTCATTTCTTACTCTGTATGGCCATCAGTGACTACCATGGAAGGATTTTATTTATAACTTGATATTTTGTGAACTCTAAGGAAAAGACAACCCAAGTATAATATTTCTTTTACAAGTAATAGATAAGGTTATAAATCCAAGTATATAGCCTTCATATGTAAATCAAATTCCAATTCTGTTTCGATAAGAATTCTATATGAGCCTTAATCACTTTGGAATGAATAGAGATCAATCATCGCCACCTTAAACACATGCGCTATTTTATCTCCATTATGATGCACTCCACAAACACATTTCATTTGATTTTTCTGTTGCTTCTAATCCTCAATGCCATAATTCATTTATTAATGCTATATTTTTGTAACTACTGCCTTAGCAACTAAAGAGGGTGGATCTATGTCAAATTCACTACTTCAACTTTTCATAGAATCTGTCAATAGGATATAATGATAACAAAATTTGTTATTCTGTTGCTTATTTGATATTTTGTTCCCAAGTTATTAAAGAGGTCATTATTAATTTGTAAAAGACTATGCCCTATGGTTGAATTGTTTTGTTGTTTCTCAATAGTAATGTTTTGGTTAATATGTTATGAGGCATAAATAATTGTTTTCTAGTGATTTGATTCATTTGAAAGAGGCTTGCATGAACAGAGTGAAACACGACTTATCTTTGAAGATGGTTCCACGACACAACTGTCATATGATGATAGATATGGATAAATATGGCAGAAGGAAGAAAAAAATATGGCAGAAGGTGTGAATAAAGGTAAAATTTATGGACTTGGAGTACAACCTTCCTCAATTTATTCATTGCCATTGTTGTTTGGTGCTTCAACTTGTCACTCTCCGGAAGAAATTTATTTAGTATTTTTGAACATTTTCTATGAGATTTAGACTTGTTTTAAACTATTTACTTCTGTTTTGAATAACAGTTTAATACTTATTAGACTTTCTTCGGGTGATGCTTGAACTTTTAAATTTAGTTATATTGAATAAAAATTTTAATGATTAGGAATGTATTTGATGTTTGATTTTATTGTTAAACTTTTATGAATGGATGGTAGTATAATTTAACAGGTGGTTCATCAAGTAAAAAAAATTCTATATAAAAATGCATTTTTTTTACCACAGTAATCAGCAAAATGACCTGACTTCTTCAAAAAAAATTAATATTGCCTACTACATCAATCGGAGAATACCTAGTTATTTATTTAATAAATTACTTATTCTGACTACTCTACTCAGAAAAATACTTAAATTATTATACTGTAGTGGGAAGATATATTAATTAAATAATTAATTACTTAAATTCTATGGCAACTGTAGTTGGAATTTTTTTAATTAATAAACTATTATTTTAATATCCATTTAGAGAGTTAATGGTCAAGACTAGTTTTATAATTTCCGACTACGGTAATCGGCAAATTCTAACTACTGTAGCCGCTAAATATTTTACGACGTTCAATATGTCGACTACCCAAAATTAGTCCAAAAGTCATCAAAAAATTCCATTTTCCGACTACATTCAAACTATTTTTGCGGTCGGCAAACGACGAATTTCTATTAGTTCGATAAAGCATCAAAGTTATTCGAACGTAATAGGTCTCTTGAGACATTACTAATATCTTGTCTTTTTTCACTGTCATGAAAATTTTCATTCACACCCTATTCAATTACATGGAGAATTAGTTTGACTAGTCACGGAAATGCTTCTATTACTAGTTGAATTTTTGTGTGCAGTTTGCGTCCAATTTTTAGTTACGTCTTCGTTTCAACTTGCAAAACATGCTTCCAAGAATTTTCAGCATCTTCAATATCGTCAGGTGTATCCATTAGTTTGTGTCCTGATTCCAATAATTTTTGGCCTGAACTAAATCGC